GCAGCCTGTTTGGCTTCAACCTCCAGCCTGCCCAGGTCTAACGGAGCCGGTGCCGGACCTTGCGAATGTTCTGGATCTTCCTCATCATCAAAACTTCCACTCATGGTGGCAGGTTCAGCTTACCATGAGTTCATCATTAGTCAATAATCTAGAATGAAACCAAAGTGACTAGTGAAATATTTATGTTTTACATCCTCACTAAAGGTAATGGTAAAGGTGAGAGGATCGACTTCATTGAATGAGATTTTATCCCATATGGCTCAGTCTCTCTCCCCAGTACAGCTAGCTGCCTGATGAAATGTCCCAGGGATCTCAGTAAAAAAATTGCAGTCATGAACTGAACGGCACTGCTAAAAAACAACCCGTGACCTTCAGAGCAAGAGGCAAACGGCTTGACTACCTCACCACAGGGACCTCCTACATCAGGGCTATTTAACTGGTGGCCCACAGGCCAAATCTGGCCCACGGAGACTTAACAAGTTGCCCATGGCTCACTGCCAGTTGTATTATATTAATGATCTTCCTATGCTGCATCTTAGAACTCTGCGCTGGCTGCTGAAGATGGGGACGGAGTGCATATGGGAATGCCCTGAGTGCTGTGATGTCAATTCTTGACTCAGGCCTCTGGCCCGTGACGATCCCCAATTTCAAAATATTGGCCCCGGTAAATTTAGTTGAATAGCACTGTCCTACATCCTCACTATTTTGGCTATCATTAGGGCTAAAATACTGTGATGGCTGGGGCATGTAGAGAGAACTGCTAATAACAAAGTGGAAAAATAACACAAGAGCTGAATGGAAGTAGATTATGAGGCAAAGAAGATGGTAAAGAGATAATATACAGGCTGACCTACAAATGAGGAGTGGCTGGCCCGATGGTTAAGAACGCAGAGCTTTCAAGCAAAAGATCTAGGTTTAAATCCTCTGTAAGGGTGGGGATTTTCTTCTGTTGGGGGAAAAATTACAATCCTAACCTGCAGTGTGTGTGACAGCACCAGCCTTGCAACCTGAAATCCCCAGGCTCAAAGACCCCCTGCCTTCCACTACAAAAGTTATCAATACATGACGTAATGGCAGAGACGTACAAACACTGGAGTCACCAAGTGGAAAGAGAAGACTCATCACACAGACAAATGGAGGTGGGTGATATCTTCAGTAATGACCTTCAAGGACCCAGAATGCTGAAGAAGAAGTATACAGATTAAAGGGGGCAGCTGTAGTAGTGCCTTTGCTTTTCACATGGATTACCTCTAAAATGTATGCATTTTAATGTCTCGCAAAGTCCAGATGACTCCATTAAATGTAAACATGGGCTTTCATATACCGCAAATCAGGCAAAATAAAAACTATGTTTTTTTAAATTATAATTTTTTATTTTCTGACTATTTGGCCCTGGAGGGAAGAGCTTGTGAAGAGAGGGGTGACCACCAGTATCTCCAAAACTAAAAAAAAAACAGTGATCTTAAGAGAGGAGAAGAAACAATAGATCATGATCGGAGAGTATGAACTGGAGCAAGTCAACCAATTCAAATCCCTTGGAGCTGTAACAGACCAGAATGGAGACATTAAGACAGAGCTGACTACTCAAAAAGCAGCAGCTGGAAGACTTCTCCGAGCAATAAACTGAGGATTTCTCGGCATAAGAGAAATTGGGAAAAGGACGAAAATGGCTGTTTACTGCTCTCCCTATGTACCAATCCTAAACTATGTGTGTGAGTCACAGGTAATGACAACTGCTCACAGAATACAGCTTTATGCCTCAGAAATAAATAAGATATCTGAGAAAGGTGGTCCAATTGACAAGATGAGACAAAGTTCACAATCATAAAATACAACCCGATCTTGAAACCCAGGCCTTACAAACTCAAGTGGATCGGTCACGGTTAGGATAGTTTGGACAAGTATGCAGAATGGGAGAAAATTGGACACCATGATAGGCATGGCAGGCAAAGAACCAGGGAACCAGACCAACAGGCTGACCCAAGGTTCACTGGAAATACAACATCTGATAATCCCTGACTGACAGAGCACTGGAATGGAACAAAAACAGAAAGAAAACAGCTGAGAGAGTCTACTGATCCCTCTGGCAAACCTCTACACACCAAGATAGAAGAGGATAGACTAGGTAAGGTAAGTAAGTATAATTCTTCTTTTACAAGGACATGTTATTAACACGTTGCATGTTTAATTTCAACAATTCACACTGAACGGTTATTAATTTACTTTTTTTATTAAAGCAGTGCAGGACTTTTGTAATGTACTATAACAGTACTGAAAGAGTGAAAAATCTGTGCAATATTAAATAGCTAAAAGCATTAGTTATTTGACAAACATATATTTGCAGTATCTTTAAACACAAAAACTGTCTCTGTGTATCCCAGTTATAACATAGAAGGGTTGACAGGATACTTGTGTTTAAACTACTCCTACTAACTAGCAAAAGGCAGCAACAATTATGAAATACATTACTAATTATTTCACTACATCTATAATTAAAGGGAGTCCCCGTGGCAGAGCGGCTAGACGCTCGCTGCGGATTGGAAGGTCATGGGTTCGCTCCCTGGCAGAGCCAGATTTTTTTCAAAAATGACCTTGGCTCCTAGGTCGACCCAACCTTGAGTGGGTACCGGGTAAAGTCCCGGAAAGTAAAGGCGGTCGCCGTGATGCTGACCACATTACCCATCTTGTGCCGATTGCTCTATAGAAATATAGGTCTGTCCTTTTACGCCTAAAGGCGTAGAAAAGGGTCCTTTAACTATAATTAAATGTAATACTACTAGAAAGTCGGCATCTATGTCTTCGGGCTTATGAATGTATTTTCAGGCACTCTTCCGAATACCGCTCCCAAATTATTCACTGTTACAAAAATCCCATTCAGAGCCTCAAAAGGTCATATTGTTAAAAAGTATGGAATAGGAACACTAAAAACTACGCTTTGCATTATTATATAATTTCATTTGAACCAAAGTCTCGAGTCTTCAGTACTACAGTTGTGGGTATTCCCCCTATCATAGGGTGACCAGTGTTCGATTCCCCGCCAGGTGATTATTATTTTTGTTAGCCCTTAAAAGGGTGGATGGCACGTTGTGTTGTGGTTTACAGCTAGGTTGCAATATCTGCTCTTTTCGTTCAGTATTGTGGTTTACAGCTAGGCAGCAATATCTTCGCCTTTCGCCACAACACAATTAGTCGCTTCTTACAACATGCTTTATAGGTGGCAGTGGAGCTATTATGATTATTTTTTCCTCAAACATGTGGCCCTGGAACCTGCATGGCGAGTCATGGATAATGTGAACAACAGATCAAAAACTATTCCTCCCCACAGCAGCGCTTGTATCGCTAATTATTCCTTTCCATGGCGCTTAGCTTAACTCTAAACATTGTTATTCATTGAGCAATAACGGCAGAAGTGGAAACTGATGATTATGGCATAAATGTTTTACTACAAAACCTCTTGAGGATCACAAAGGGATATTTTTCGCAGTGCAGGATACCAATTGGAGTTTGTTGATTTCCATACCATAATGATATTGGTAGCTTTCAAGAAGCAATAACAAATGACTGAACGAACGTAAAATTGCAAAGTAAAACTACACATCAAACAAATGATGGGGGAGGCCTGGCGTTTAGGATATAATGTAAACTAAATGCAACTATCAATACTGTATACTGTATGTATTCATTTAAAATAAAAATCACAGATGCGGTCAGTGGGCGTTTGCCGAAAGGCTGATGACTGGTGACTTGGTGCTTTGTAAGTACTTTGTCAATACAATTACAGTCGGTATCTCTCAATAGAGATTAATTCTGTATTCCCAGTGATTTTATTTTTAAAATATGAAATGCATTTCCAATAAATTACAAGTAACAATATTTGCAGCCTGTTTACCTGGGATTTGGCTGGGAGCGAATTGACGAGTCAACTTCCTACAGCGGAACATTATAAATCCAAACAAACGGAGTTAAGTCTAAACTACGATAGAAATCGGAATATTTTCAAAGTAGTATGAAGTAGTGTCGGCTCTGTGGCTAAGTCGATGCGAACGCTTCATAATGCCGCGATCGATCCCAGCTGCGGGCCATGCGCCTTGCGTTGGTTTCGACAGTGGTATCAAAGAAGCAGACCGTCCAGAAGGCAGTGGCAAAATACTGGACGTAAATTTGCCTAGAAAAACCACACAACAGCCAGGTGCTGTACTGTTGGGGTTGGTTCTGCAACGTCCAGTAAAGGATACGCAACTAACCAGTATGTAGTAGTATTATAGGTTTTTGAGCTGTAACGTTATAGGGAGATTCTCAGAATACAACTGATCAAAGAAAGAAACGCTGACATTCTAAAATATCTAAACGTCAAGAAAGATCACCATCCTGTCTCGAAAGCTTGAAATATTTTGGCCATATCAAACGTCACAGCGGCTGAAAGAATAGTGGCAAAAGGCATTATCATCATCATCATAAATATCTTCTGCCGTTAAGCGCCGTGGGGAGGAATAATTTGCGATCCAGTGCACGTTGGCTGTCACTGGCTATGTCACGCCGTGAAGACGTAGTGTCTTTAATGTTGTCAATCCATATTTTCGTGGCCGTCCTCTTGCTCTTCTAGCTCATCTTCTGAGATGTAGTGCTTGTGAAGGTATTTGATTTTGCTGCATTCTAACAAGATGGCCGAACCACTTGATCTGTTGTTTCTCGATGAATCTAGTATAAGGTGTCGTTCCCACAGTTTTCCTGATAGTTTCGTTATTAACGCGATCCCATGGTTGGCTGCTTTTCTCAGGCATTTCATCTCGCAGGTGGTGATTTTGCGTATATGGGCTTTAAAAAGTGTCCATTGTTTGGCACTGGTAGCTTAATGTTTGAATGAATATGCTGTTAATAATCTGTCTCTTTGCACTCATAGTTATGCTTGGATGTCTTAATAATGTTGACAATTTGTATATAAGTGCATTTGCTTTCTGACATCTGGTTTCTATTTCTCTGTCAATTCTACCATCTTCTGTGATCATACTTCCTAGATATTTAAACTCCCTAACTTGATTCAGAGCAGAACCATTCAACTCTGTGTGTGTAGTGGGGCAGGGGTTCTACTAACTTGCATTGTTTC